TGTGTACTTCACCCTTACGTGCCTGTACTTTACAGTATTTATACTCTGAATATAGTTTTCCATTGGGGAAAGTAAAATAAATAGCTGAAGAGGGTCTTTAATAAATCGACATCTTGATTTGAAAGGCTCTGGGAAGATACTTTTTTTGACTTTTTAGAGTGGTTGTCATAGGCCTACAGGCCAAACCAGTCCACTTTCTAATAATGTAGTTTATGAAAGTTCAATCAGGAAGGCTGGTCTGAATTCATAGCCGCGGGAAGTAGGGGTGCACCCTCAGCAATCCCCTGAAACGTCTTAAGACATTTTTCAAATATTTTGTAAAATATAACGTTTTGAGGGGAAAAATTTTTTCCACAAAAGTAGTGCACTGGGCCTTTAACAGCCCTGTATTAGCGAACCAATATAGCCGTCTCCTCCTGCTCATCATCATTCTGTTTCTCCAAACCTCAAATTTTGAAGTTGCTCCAAACGTCAGATTTCGAAGTTAAGGGTTAAGGTTTTGGATAAGGTCAAAACATTAAGTTTAGGCATTCATTCCGAATGGTTAAGTTAAGGGTTAAGGTTTGTAATACGGAAAACAATTATAAAATGAGTGTGTGCCACTGGGATTAAACACGCAACCTTCAGATCCGGAGTCATGAGATTACGCCCATCTGCCACCCCCGTCCACAACGCCCTAGCAAAACCAAAGCCTACTTGATGGTAATAGCGTTCTCTGCTGCCCCTAGTGGGTGGTTTTGAAGGCATTTTCCGTCGTCCTTAGGACATAGACAGAAGTCCAATTTCAAAGTAAATCTTGAGTGATCTTGAGCCTGATGTGGTGACTATTGGGAAAGCAGCAGGTAAAATTAAGGCATTTATATCTAACCTGTGCTAATCCCAAATTGTGCAATTAAAACAGTGCACACATAGATAATGTTTCAGAACCATGGACAGTACTGCAATTTTAGGTAAAAATAGAAGAGAGCTGATTGCTGATTTCAGCACCTTGGACACTGAACAGCATTGCATCCAGGCACCGCTCCCAGCTCCCAACATAGACTATTATGGCAATACTGCACAAGATCTCTGGTATCTGCTAGTTAAACCATGCTCTGATGTGCTACAATGGTATACTGACAAGACTTTGTAATGAAGTCCTTTATAATACCATAGAATAAAATATGTTTTGTCTTTATCAACATTTCAACTGATGCGAAATGGTGCATTTAGTAAGGATCATTATGATAGGATTATATGACATTATAATGGGAGTCTTGAAAGTGCAGCATCATGCAGGCCTTTGTAACACAGGTAACACAGCAAGACAAAGCTCAACATAAGGCATGTCATAAACTCTTAAGATACGTTCTTGTTGATAATCTTTTATTTACAGCTCAATTTAAATGTCATAGAGAAGACTTGAAGCTCATTGTTCTGTTTCAGAAATGCTGCTCTGCTTCTGACACAGCATGCTGAGTTGAACATACATAACCTGCAAGGTCCACACAAGTCATTTCATGTCCCCACAAGCCATTCAAGGTCCCCACAAGCCTTCAAGGTCCTCCAGTGGCATTGAAAAGGGTGAGAGTGGCATCAGATGGAGTCGTTGTGAAAGCTGGCCATTCCATGGAGCAGCAGTCACTTTTTTGGCTACTCAGAACATGTGTGATGATGGTCCAACACAAAATGTTTACATCCATTCAAGCAGTGTCGACATTATCTCATCCAGTTTCCACTGTTTTCACATTCCAATGTAGAATTGTGCGCCATTTGTGTCCATGAGCGAGAAAAATGACTTTCCTCAACTTTGTAAGCAACAAACCCTGTAGTCCTTTGTCTTTCATTGTCAGTATTCTTCTCACAGTCTGGCACACATTTTGATATTATTAGTGATTATGCCTCATCTGTTTGGGAAGGGACTGGTTAATGACGGATTTGCAAAAAAAATGTGTACAATTTGATTGCCACAACTGAAATTACCAATAGAATCCATCGGATCGATTACAGTTTTTTTTCAATCCCTTTGGTGCAATTTTCACAAGTATGTGTTACATTTTCACAACTCCAAGCACAAAAATCTAAACAGATACTGTAATCAAAATGGCTCATGTTTCAAAACTCTAAGCACATTTTGAATTGACTGAGTACAACAAACACATTCACAAAGTCACTTGTTCACTGCACCAAATCACTCTTTCAATGTGGATACATATTCAATCTAAGTATCTGCTTTTCAAAATGCAATATTCACTTTACTTTTTATATGAGTTTCTTGTCATTTATTAACAATACAATAAACTATCATTTAATAAATCTGCTCAAAACTGATAACTACTGAACCAAAATTATGTAGTGCCTACTTTACGTATATGCGATAACTGCTGAATACTGTACATTTCTATATTTTTACCTCATAAATATATCAATCTGACATCAATTTATGTTGGAGGGTAAATCCAAATCCTATATGGATGTGGCTGTAAATACTACATCATCATTCTCCATCAGCCAGTGTGCTCCAATAGAACAAAAGGGAAAGAGTCACTCTATGTGTTACCATTTGGAATTATAGTGTAGTGCTGAAATACCTGTATTGTGTACAATAATATATTCCACTCATCATCTGAATTTCATTGGTACATTGTAAGCTGATTAATTTCAAGCAGAGCGACAGGCGATACTGTATCAGTTGACAAGTCACGTAGATAAAGTGATCTTGTACAATGTTACATGGGGCAGAAATAGCATACAACACCGTACTATGTTTTTACAGTAGCCAACTGCTTTACAATACCCCTATTTCTGATGATTTGTCCTACGTGTGTACTGTATAAGGATAATGAAACTGTTAAACGGACATATTTCTCAACATGCTCACAACCTGCCATTGGATACAAATGATTTAAAAAATTGTATGTTAAGTTATTGTCAAATACTGTATGGAAAAGTACTATTCTTTCTATTGAGCACTTAAAAAAGAACAGTTTTGAAATGTGTATTTTGTATTGTTTTTCTTCCATCACTTTGGCACATTTCTCAGATGTAAGTGGTATATTTTCAAAACTCTAAACTGATAACACTTGTAATGCCCCCTGTCTTATGTTCAGAACCTTTTGTTGTGCATTCATTGGGGTTTCACACATCTTTCACCTCTGAATAGTCCGTGAAATACCATGAGTACATTTCATTTTGTCACCAATACATTAAATAGTGATAGGCTCACCATTTAGTCATTTTAACTATAATTTAATCCAACAGCAAAAAATACAAGATAGACATTTCAAAACTGTTCTTTTTAAGTGCTGAATAGAAAAAATAGTAGATGGTAAATATAATTTTCCATACAGTGTTTGACTATAACTTGTATCCAATGGCAGGTTGTGAGCATGTTGAGAAATATGTCCGTTTAACAGTTTCATTATCCTTATACAGCACACACGTAGGACAAATCATCAGAAATAGGGATATTGTAAAGCAGTTGGCTACTGTAGAAACATAGCACGGTGTTGTATGCCATTTCTGCCCCAAACATTGTACAAGATCACCTTCTTTTTTTTTACGGGACTTGTCAACTGATACAGTATTGCTTGTCTCTCTGCTTGAAATTAATCAGCTTACAGTGTATCAATGAAATTCTGATGATGAGTGGAATATATTGTTATATACAACCCAGGTATTTCAGCAGTGCATTGTACACTACACTATAATTCCAAATGGTAACACATAGAGTGACTCTTTCCCTTTTGTCCTATTGGAGCACACTGGCTGATGGAGAATGATGATGTAGTATTTACAGCCACATTCATATATGATTTGCTTTTAACTTCCGACATAAATTGATGTGTAATTGATAAATGTAGGTAAACATATAGAGATTTACAGTGTTCAACAGTTATCAAACTATATACGTTAACTAGGCAGTACATAATTGTGGTTCAGTAGTTATCAGTTTTGAGCAGTTTTATTAAGTGATAGTTTATTGTATTGTTAACAAATGACAAGAAACTCATATAAAAAGTAAAGTGAATAATGCATTTTGAAAAGCAGATACTTAGATTGAATATGTATCCAAATTGAAAGAGTGATTTGGTGTAGTGAACAAGTCACTTTGTTAATTTGTTTGTTGTACTCAGTCAATTGAAAATGTGCCTAGAGTTTTGAAACATGAGCGATGGTGATGATCTGTTTAGATTTTTGTGCTTGTTGTGAAAATGTACCACATACTAGTGAAAATCGCACCAAAGGGATTGAAATAAACAACAACTGAAAATGGTAGTTAAAATGACTACATGGTGAGCCTAGCATTATCTGATGTATTGGTGACTAAACAAAATGTGCTCATGGTATTTCATTGAAAACTTTGATTTAGCATGAATGACTCTGGGGTGAAAGATGTGTCAAACCCCAATGAATGCACAGTCCAAGGTTCTGAACATAAGACAGGGGGCATTACACGTGTTATCAGTTTAGAATTTTGTACTTAAGAGTTTTGAAAATGTACCACTTACATCTGAATAAAAAGAGGGTTCTTGCTTTCAACGTGATACTAGTATTTTTATACAATGTCCATGTGATTCAATCTTACCAAACCACCCATAAGAATTATGCCTTTTTTGTATATATGGCAATATATACACACGTTTTATGTGTGTGTGGTATGCCTGTGTGGGTATTTGCTTCGTTTCATGTTATTCACTCTCATGTTGTTCTCCATGTCTTGGAGAGAGAGAGAGAGAGAGAGAGAGAGAGAGAATGTGTATGTGTGAGTTTGCCTGTGTGCACATACAAACATAAATAACACATCTTTGCATAACACCTCGATAAAGGATGGTGAGAGTCTACAAAGAAGACCAACAAGATTCCCACATCTCACTGAAACACTATGTTTTCATCTCTGGTTTCAAAAAATAAAACGGCTCCTCTTATATTGGTCTTCAGTCAGCAACAAAACGTCCACACCAACAATTCACCTCCGAAGCTACATGGGGCACTCAATTCTCTCACACTGATCATACCGCTCATACCGAGGACTCCCGGGCGGTTTTGGAGTGCAGGGCCTTTTTTCGGCTGAGGAAGGGGTAGGTGGTGCAGAGGCAGCCCGACGCCACGGTCAGTCCCAGGCTTACCCAGGCGCAGAAGATGGACCAGCCGTAGCCATGGTCCACGTCGCCGGGCAGTCCATAGATGAAGGGTGGGTTCCGGGAGAGGTCGTAGGAGACGCTGGCAGCGTAGGTGCATAAGGAGATTGTGCAGAAGATCCCTATAGGGGATAAATTGTTCGTTCCAAGATTTGTATTAAAGAGGCAATACAGGATTCAAATAACAACAAAAGACAGGTAAGACAGTTGAAGTAAGATCATGAATCAATGACTGCTCAAAAAAATGAATGAATGAAATAATCTTATTAAATACTTTTTTCTTTACATAGTTGAATGTGCTGACAACACAATCACACAAAAATTATCAATGGAAATCAAATGTATCAACCCATGGCGGTCTGGATTTGGAGTCACCCTCAAAATTAAAGTGGAAAACCACACTACAGGCTGATCCAACTTTGACGTAATGTCCTTAAAACAAGTCAAAATGAGGCTCAGTAGTGTGTGTGGCCTCCACGTGCCTGTATGACCTCCCTACAATGCCTGGGCATGCTCCTGATGAGGTGGCGGATGGTCTCCTGATGGATCTCCTCCCAGACCTGGACTAAAGCATCCGCCAACTCCTGGACAGTCTGTGGTGCAATGTGGCGTTGGTGGATGGAGCGAAACATGATGTCCCAGATGTGCTCAATTGGATTCAGGTCTGGGGAACGGGCGGGCCAGTCCATAGCATCAATGCCTTCCTCTTGCAGGAACTGCTGACACACTCCAGCCACATGAGGTCTAGCATTGTCTTGCATTAGGAGGAACCCAGGGCCAACCGCACCAGCATATGGTCTCACAAGGGGTCTGAGGATCTCATCTCGGTACCTAATGGCAGTCAGGCTACCTTTGGCGAGCACATGGAGGGCTGTGCGGCCCCCCAAAGAAATGCCACCCCACACCATGACTGACCCACCGCCAAACCGGTCATGCTGGAGGATGTTGCAGGCAGCAGAACGTTCTCCACGGCATCTTCAGACTCTGTCACGTCTGTCACGTGCTCAGTGTGAACCTGCTTTCATCTGTGAAGAGCACAGGGCGCCAGTGGCGAATTTGCCAATCTTGGTGTTCTCTGGCAAATGCCAAATGTCCTGCACGGTGTTGGGCTGTAAGCACAACCCCCACCTGTGGACGTCGGGCCCTCATACCACCCTCATGGAGTCTGTTTCTGACCGTTTGAGCAGACACATGCACATTTGTGGCCTGCTGGAGGTCATTTTGCAGGGCTCTGGCAGTGCTCCTCCTACTCCTCCTTGCACAAAGGTGGAGGTAGCGGTCCTGCTGCTGGGTTGTTGCCCTCCTACGGCCTCCTCCACGTCTCCTGATGTACTGGCCTGTCTCCTGGTAGCGCCTCCATGCTCTGGACACTATGCTGACAGACACCGCAAACCTTCTTGCCACAGCTCGCATTGATGTGCCATCCTGGATGAGCTGCACTACCTGAGCCACTTGTGTGGGTTGTAGACTCCGTCTCATGCTACCACTAGAGTGAAAGCACCGCCAGCATTCAAACGTGACCAAAACATCAGCCAGGAAGCATAGGAACTGAGAAGTGGTCTGTGGTCACCTATAATTTCCACCTGTTGTCTATTCCATTTGCACAACAGCATGTGACATTTATTGTCAATCAGTGTTGCTTCCTAAGTGGACAGTTTGATTTCACAGAAGTGTGATTGACTTGGAGTTACATTGTGTTGTTTAAGTGTTCCCTTTATTTTTTTGAGTAGTGTATTATTCATTTAAAAGTCAAAAAATGGAGGTACCAATCCCGGATTTCCACTTTACTAACCATCCACATGGAACTGAAATTCATGAGTATAACATCAATAAATAGATCAAAAAAACACTAGTTGAAAGGAAATCTAAAACACAACTGAAATGGCAAATTAGCCACCCTATTGTGTAATGTTATAAATATGTTATAGGAATGTTTACAACCGTAGAAGCAGCCTCCTGTTTGTAGCATGAGCTATTATGAATGCCTATGGCATGTTTTATTATGCATATTATCACCTGTGTGTAATGTATTATGAATACATCTGTACCCATTAGGCATTTACAAATTCTGCTAAAAAAGAGCCTTTACTGTATGTGTTTGATGAACACTTGGGAGGAAGATTTGGACGAGAGAGAGAGAGAGAGAGAGAACTAAAGATGGAGATATAGAGATAGGCTGCAGTAAAAGTGGCACAGAGAGACAGAAGTTGAAAGCTGCCATCACAAAGAAACCAACAATGAGAGGGAATGAGAGAGTCTCTCTCTCTCTCTCTCACACACACACACACACACACACACACACACACACACACACACACACACACACACACACACACACACACACACACACACACACACACACACACACACAGGATAGGTAGGTCATTGGCAATGAAAGCCCTAACACACACACACAGGAGAGGTAGGGTGTTGGTAGTTGGCAGGCGTTGTACCTGCCATGAGGAAGAGCAGGCCGGAGACGTGCTGGGTGAGGCTCTCCTCCCAAAAGAAGCCCACTGTGGCCACAATGCTGCCACACAGCAAAACGGCAGCCGCCATCCCCAGGAACCCTGCCGTGATTCGCCGCAGATCTGAGACACACACACATAAACATAGCACGCACGCACACACACACACACACACACACACACACACACAAGCAAGCACACAAAGATACAGACACCAGTATATACAAAAGCGTACACATAAACACGCATGCACACACACACAGACAAACACAAAGCGTACATACACACAAGTGCACACACACAAGTGAAAACATTAGCACACACGCACACACCAACATTTCCATGACAACCACCCCCTGGTAAACCCGCTTGTGCTACCCCTCAACAGTCACCAAAAAGACATTTTTGTTTTTGTTAGGTAATGCTTTGCTTTTGGTCTCCCCTGTCCTACATTTGTTACAACCCTGCCATAAGAACGACATCACGCCTGTCATAACGTAAAATGGCCAGCAACGACTGTTAAAAACAGGTGAATTTGAATGATTTCCTTAATGCATCATGACAGCATTGTGCCTTGTTTTTCAGTACATGTTATCGCAAGCATTATGTCACTCAACACACAAATGTATTATAGCGGGATATGTTGATAGAAATATTAAATTCCTGCAATTTATGATATACTGTAACAATATTATGACAAATTGTTAAGGCCTACTCTGCATCTCATACATTTGTCAGATCGAGTTGCAGTATCCAAACACAGGATCAAACTCAAGCAGGAAAAACACTGTCTCCGTCCCAAATAACACCCTATTCCCTACATAGTGCACTTAATAGGGAACAATTGTGCACTCAAAAGTAGTGCACTTAATAGGGAATAGCGTGCCATTTGGGATGCAAGCACTGTCTAAAGGTGGCAGGCAGACAAAGAAAACCAATCCTATTTTGACTTTGATGAATGTTCTTCCTCAGACTGGTTGTGTAGTAATAATAGACTGTGTGGAGTTAATATGTTTTTCTTGTACGAGCTGACATTTACTTCCTCCCCGTGAACATTTTCCATAACCATGTAGCAATCCACTCATCAGGGGTCGGACATTGGAGTAGGAATGTTAGCTTCGAAAGGTTAGCTTAACATATTCAGCATGTGGGTACAGTAGTAGCCTTCATACAGATCATGGTTGTCTGAAGAGATCACTATGGTTGTCTGAAGAGATCACTATGGTTGCGGAAGAGATCACTATGGTTGTCTGAAGAGATCACTACGGTTGTCTGAAGAGATCACTACGGTTGTCTGAAGGTTCTAAAGGTTCCACAGCATGAAGCCAAATTAATATGGAGCACTGCCATTTGGACTTCCACTGTTATTTCATTATCAAATCTAGACACAACAGACATGTTCAGTCTACAGTACTGTATGAAGCATTGAAAAACATGTTTTAAAAAAACACACATACAAAACATGTAATTATTTATTTTAAAAAATACACAATACAAGGGATAGGAAGAGCAAGTAACAGTAAAGATATTCCCCAATAAATAATGGAAATAATATGGGTAGTGATACAATGATATTGTTTGAGCAAAGATGGTGGTAGAAATGTGCCCCAAATCCGTAAGATGAAAGTTTTTGCACCAACGACTACCTGGAAAAGCTCATCTTAAAGGATCCTAACACTACTCATGACAGACGTCTGACCATCCCACCGCAGACACCAACACAGGTCAGTCGTGGGGCACCTGGAATCAAACTTCTCACACCAAGACCATCTAACCATTGTTCGAAAGACTCTGGCCCAGACCAAAACCGGAAATGAGAGAGCCTTTCTACCTCTGGATTGTTGGACATTGCTATGTGGGAAATGAATGGGGAAAGAATGGGATTTTAGGATAAACACTGAAAATAAGATCTGAAGTTAACACAGGCTTAGGAGATCTTATATGTTTTGTTCTATGAGATAATATCAGCCAGTTTACATGACCTTAATGAATTATAAACGTATTTATGTGCTTTATGTGCTTGTTTTGATACATAAATGCTTAAAAATTCACAAAGTGACGTTAGCTGAGGAAGATTATCTCATAGAACGAAACCTATAAGATCTCCTAAGCCTATGCTTACCACAGACCAAAGTTTTGGCGTTTATCCAAACCCCATAGGCTTTGGCCAACGAGCCATTGTGCAGTTAGCCTCCTGTAGTGCCTACAAAAAGACACCATTAATATTGCTCTCTATAAAAAACAGCTAGCCATGCAAGCGGTTTAATTGCAGGTGGTTCTGGGACATTGAGTCTGCAATACTTACGTAAGAGATGCCATTCATCTTGCTGAATGGTTCTCGTCAGGTTGAGTGGGATGTTTCGAAGCCGAATAGGCTGAGAGAAATGGTACTTGACAGTTGTGCATCGGTCCGCAATACCTGTGGAGAGAATGGATTACTAAAAAGCTCTACGTTTTAACATTACAACGAGCAAAATCTTTGCCCTACTTGCATATCTTTACTTGAAGTTGCCATAAAGTGTATATGGCATAATGCCATATTATAATGGATTGTTTTGATAGGCTTACATGATATTATTGAGTCATTAATACTTTATGTAACGTTTATAATCATGTACAAAAGTTTCATTTAACGTTTAATGTCATAACATCTTTATGTCAGTGATTGTTAACAAAAACTGGGTGACATAAATCCAGGCATTGCATATTATACAGGGCATGCCTATAACAGTGTTATACATTTGATCTGTCAGGTCGCATTGTAAAGAGCCATTGCAACACTCCATTTTTTTACCCTACCTCAAACTGTGACATTTGAGAGAGCTCTTGTATTTCCATGCAGTGGCTAACTTGGTTTGAAAAGGGTAAACACTGTGACATTTACTTGGATTTGAAGCAACCTATGACTTGGGTGTTCAGTTTCCCTTTCACGCATGCATTGTAGTCTACTGTAGAGTTGAGTTGGTATAGTAATCAACTATATGCAGGACAAATTCATTTCACTTGGCCTGTGCTGTTGCCTATTTAGTTATTTTTCCAAACTGGACAGGTTTTGACAGGTTTTGACAGGTTTACATAATGAGTTCTCAGTAACACTTTATAAGGTACCCTTTTTAAAGGGTTTAGAATGCATTTACAAATGATGAAATAACTGTTATAAACCGTTTAGAAAAGGTACCTTTATAAAGGCTACCTATAAAGTGTTACCAAGGTACCTTTGCTGGTGTCTCTGTATGTGAGCTACTGTAAAATGTTGTCTCTTTCTTGTATGAGAGTACAGTGGACGCCCCATGAGTCCTATGTTGCTGGTGAGGCGGACTCTTTGACCTTCTGTCCTTATTTCCAGCTGAGCTCCCACAACTTGAATTGGTAGGACAGAATCTAGACAGTTTCCCATCGAATGAAGCACGGATGCTCTTTAAAACACTTTTTTTATACAAAATCTTAACACTTGTGGTCCACATCTACTTAATGCATGGGAACCGCTACCATTTCATACTTGGTAGAAATGATGAAGCATCATCAGGTGCATATTGAGCAGGCACTTTGAAGCCATTTAGGTCCAATAAGGTCTAAGAGAACTCCTTTGATATGAGGTTGAGTAGCCTTAGCCTCTTAGAAAAAAAAGTGCTAAATAGAATCATACAGGGTTCTTCGGTTTCTCCCTATAAGGGAACCCTTTTTTGGTGCTGGGTAGAACCCTTTACAGAGAGTTGTATTTAGAACCCTCTATGTAGGGTTCTTCAAAGAACCCCCTGTACATGGTTCTACCTAGAACTCCATGTGAAGGGTTCTGCCTAGAGCCCTCTATGAAGGGTTCTACCTAGAAACATTTGATCATCTAAAGGTTCTTCCTAGAACCGTCTATGAAGGGTTCTACTGAGAACCCTTTTATCTTCTGAGGATTCTTCCTAGAACCCGCTATTATTTATGAGAGTACATTACATACACTACCAGTCAAAAGTTTGGACACACCTACTCATTCAAGGGTTTTACTTTATTTTTACTATTTTCTAAAACTGTGAAATAACACAAGTGGTAAACAAATCGAAATATATTTTATATTTGAGATTCTTCAAATAGCCACCCTTTGCCTTGATGACAGCTTTGCACACTCTTGGCATTCTCTCAACCAGCTTCATGGGGTAGTCACCTGGAATGCATTTCAATTAACAGGTGTGCCTTCTTAAAAGTTAATTTGTGGAATGTATTTTCGTCTTAATGCGTTTGAGCCAATCAGTTGTGTTGTGACAAGGTGTGTGTGTGTGTGTATGGCAAGAACAGCTCAAATAAGCAAAGAGAAACGACAGTCCATCATTACTTTAAGACATGAAGGTCAGTCAATACTGAACATTTCAAGAACTTTGAAAGTTTCTTCAAGTGCAGTCACAAAAAACATCAAGCGCTATGATGATACTGGCTCTCATGAGGACCGCCACAGGAAAGGAAGACCCAGAGTTACCTCTCCTGCACAGGATAAGTTCATTAGAGTTACCAGCCTCAGAAATTGCAGCCCAAATAAAGTAACAGACACATCTCAACATCAACTGTTCAGTGGGGACTGTGTGAATCAGGCCTTCATGGTCGAATTTCTGCAAAGAAAACACTACTAAAAGGACACCAATAATAAGAAGAGACCTGCTTGGGCCAAGAAACACGAGCAATGGACATTAGACCGGTGGAAATTTGTCCTTTGGTCTGGAGTCCAAATTTGAGATTTTTGGTTCAAACCGCTGTGTCTTTCTGAGACGCGGTGTGGGTGAACGGATGATCTCCGCATGTATAGTTCCCACCGTAAAACATGGAGGAGAAGGTGTTATGGTGCTTTGCTGGTGACACTGATTTATTTAAGGCACACTTAACCAGCATGCCTACCACAGCATTCTGCAGCGATATGCCATCCCATCTGGTTTGGGCTTAGTGGGACTATCATTTGTTTTTCAGCAGGACAATGACCCAACACACCTCCAGGGTATGAAAGCAGCCGGGGAAGAAGAAGGACGAATGAGACCGTTTGAGTGCCTCATTTTCCGGGATAGATAGGGGGTAAACACGGCCCGTCGGTGGGGATACTCCAGGGAGTAAGTCAATAGCACAGTCCCCTGGGTGATGTGGTGGCAGAGTGGAGGCCTTAATTTTACTGAAGACATTGCTGGACTGGGCGTATTCAGATGGTATGGTCGGTGGTGGCTCTGCAGGGTAGGCTGAGACAACTGGTGAAGCAGGTAGAAGACCAGGAAAGTAGTTCACCTTGTCGCCACGAGATGGCAGGGTCGTGACGACAAAGCCAGGGGTGTCCGAGGATGAGTGGCTGTTTGGGGGCTGAGAGTTCCATGAGAGTTCCATGAGTTGAATGGTTTCGGTGTGGAAGACTCCAATCTGGAGGGTAATGCTCTGTGTCAGGTGCGTAATGAAGCCCGTGCCCAATGGCTGCCCGTCCAGGGTGTTAATCCTTAAGGGAGGGGTGACAGGTGTAAGATCAATGTCAAGCTTTGTACTAGCTGGTGATCGATAAAACTACCTGCTGCTCCCGAATCTATCAAGCCCTCTACGTACTTCGTAACCCCCTTCACGGTTATCAATACTGGGATGGAGAATTGCTTCTAGGAGATATTTAGAAAAATACGGACTCTCCTACCTGCATGGCAGCGAAGGGATCCTTCTCAGCTCTCCAACAGGGCAATGGCTGAGTAGATGATCTTTCCCTCCACAGTATAGGCAGAGCCCTTCTTGGATTCGCCTTTGACGTTCGATACACGGGAGAGGAGCATGACCCAACTGCATGGGCTCTGGAAGACTAAAATTTTAAATGTAAATGTAAGACTCGGACGGGATGACGGAATCATGGAAAGAGAAGGTTTCGGGTTCCTGGGTGGCAGAGTTCTTCGGCAGTCGGCGATGAGGTGGTCGATGGAGATACAAATGTATTGATTTAAATCCTGAGGTACCTACAGCCAGCTCGCTGAAGTTCGGTTCCTGGTGAGCCTTCGGCA